TGCAAATGATAAATTTATTTAGAAAATTTACAAATATTGTAAATAAAAAGAATTAATATATATACGAAATTATTCCTAAAAAATTTGTAATCTGAAATATTACAAATTAATAATTAAACTTGATACACGTGTAAATAAGGAAAGATAATAATCAATAAAACAATCCAATTAAGAAAATTCAAACTTTAATGTATTTTTCAAAACTTTAAAACTTCGAAGCTTCGAATATTCGAAGTCAGAGTAAAAAGTAACAGCCCTAGTACATAATAAATGTATTTACCGCTTTCTTTTCTCGCTCGAGTCTCTGAATCTCAGCAAGCGACGCGGTGTGAGTGGCGGGCGCCAGTGTACGCGGAGCCTGAGCCCACGGCGATTTGTTTCTTTCTTGAAGCTTACGCAACGCCTCGGCTTCCCTTCGCCGTTGCTCCGCGCGACGCGCCTGTTCTTCTATCTCCGCCTGTCGCCGCGCCTCCACCTCTTTCCTGTAAATTCCATTCATTGCAAATTTGATTTCACCGCACACTGTGATTGGTCATTTCAACTCACACCGGTCAACATTACACCTTGCATAATTCTACCGACATACCTGAGTCTCTCTTCCTCCTGCCTTTTTTGTTCTTCTTCTAATTTCTTCCTCTTCTCCTCTTCCCTCTTCAATTTCTCTTCTTGCTTCTTAAACTCCTCTCGCTTTCTCTTCTCCTCCTCCTGCTTCCTCTTCAAATTTTCCTCCTCCAGCTTCCTCTTCTCCTCACGCTTCTTCTCCTCTTCCTTACGTCTTTTCTCCTCTTTCTTCTTTTGCTCCTCCTCCTGCTTGCGTTTCTCCTCTTCTTTCCGCTTCTTCTCCTCTTCCTTTCTCTTTCTCTCCTCATCCTTGCGTTTCGCCTCTTCAGCTTGTCTGACTTGTTCCTCCTTTTGCTTTCTCTTCGCATTCTCCTCTTCCACTTGACGCTGCAATTGTTCCTGCTTCCTTAACTCTTCCTTTTTCCGATCCTCTTGTAACTTAAGATTCTGTTCTTCCTAAAAAGAGAAAATCCAACACATTGATTATTTTGTAACTGCATGAGAAAACTGAGACGGAAAGAGAAAGAGAGAGAGAGAAAACTGAACAAAAAAGCCAATTTACCAATATCTGCTGTTCGGTCTTCATATCTTTAGCATGTAAATCCCATGGAGAACCGGGTAATTGTCCCGGTGGCATCGCGGGAATGGGTCCAACCTGGGAAAACAGAACATTAATAGATAAATGAGATTATTAACAAATAGAGATTGCCAAAAACTTATGCCACAGTCGTGGACCGGTTGAGTCACTTATGCCACAGTCGTAGATCGGTTGAGACACTTTTTTTTTTTAATAGGTTTCGAAACGCACTAATATTTTGCAAATACGAGCCACGATTGGTGTATTGTCTCTAGATTAAAGATAGTACACCATCGTGGTTGGAATTTGCAAAATATATATTATATATATTAAATATACACTAAAAACCTATGAAAAAGAAGTGTCGCAATCGATACGTCCACGACTGCACGTGAACTTTATGGTAATTTCCAACAGCCTAACGCACCTGCGCTAACCAATTCTGCGCATTGAACTGAGGGGGAACCATTTGCGGCGGGGGCTGCGGCCAAACGGTGTCCATATGAGTTGCTGCCTGTGGATGACCGTTTGTGTTGACGTTGAGTTGACGTAGCAGAGACTTTATTGGATTGTCTTCTTGCGCCGGCGTGGGAGTCGGAGCGATATTCGGCTGCTGCGGCATCGTTGGCACGTTCTGCAGACCGCCCATCTGTTGGATAAGTTGCTGTATAGGATCCACCGTAGCCGGATGGACCGGCGCCGTCGTGTGCGGATTCGTCGGCAAGTGGGTCTCAGGTTGCGTCTTCCCCTGCGTGCAATATCGCGCATTAATCACGAGTAGAAAAAATGAACGATTAGACATTTTCGGATCAGTGAAAATATACTAGGGCATTTACTACGGCTGGTGATTTGCTTCAAAGGCTTCGACATTCGAAATTCGAAGCTTCGGCATTAAAATCTTCGAATTTGATCAAAGCTTCGAAACTTCGAAGTTTCGAAAAATACATTTCTGCAAATGATAAATTTATTCAAAAAATTTACAAATATTATAAATAAAAAGAATTAATATACGAAATTATTCCTAAAAAATTTTGAAAGTATTATAACCCGAAATATTACAAATTAATCATTAAACTTGATACACGTGCAAATAAGGAAAGATAATGATAAATAAAACAATCCAATTAAGAAAATTCAAATTTTTAATGTATTTTTTAAAACTTCGAAGCTTTAAAGTTAATTTTAAACTTCGAAAGGTCGAAGCTTCGAATATTCGAAGTGAGTAAAAAGTAACAGCCCTAGCATTTACCTGTTGCATTTGAGTGAAAAGTTGCATAACAGGATTAGTCGCCTGGGACGCGGCTAGGTGAGGCACAAATGGACTTGTCGCTATCGGCACTTCCGGAATTTCCTGCATTCCGTCTTGTATGACGTATTGTAGAATCAACTGATTCTGCTCCACGGGAGTTAGCGTAGACCAGTGCTCCGATTGCGACAATTTCGCTATCGCTGACGTTCTCATCTGCCTGAACAGCATCTGATTGTGCAGCATCTGCATGTGCTGATATGTCATCAACAGTAACGGATCCTCCAGTCCGGCCTTCGGCATAACGCCGGGGGCTAGTCCGGCCGGCACGGTGTTGGGAACGGGTGGAATCACCTGTTCCGTTAATTGCTGAGAAATGAAAATAATTCAATCTTAACTAAAATGTGAACGTGCCCAAACAGCGGCGGAGAAGTTGAGAATGCAATAATAATGTATAACTTCATCGGCTTCGTTTTCCGAAAATCTCTGAATTTTCCTCTACACGGTAAAACTTGAATATTACAGATGACTACAAATAAAATTCACCCTTCTCTTTTGCTTTCTTCTCTAACATTATTCGAACTTTAAAACTTCATACTTTTCTCAATATTAAAACTGGTTACACTGATGTGATCTATATACAAGTTCTGAATTAGTAAAATAATTTAGAAACATAAAAAAGGTACATAATATACATATAAATAAAATATGTCGTACCTTTAACGGAGGTATCGGTGGACCAGGGGTGAACGGTATTCTTCCAAACATTTTGATCAAATCACCGAGCGTGGCGTACCTCTCGTCGCAAGTTCTTCTCACTAACAGTCCCGTAGTAAAATAGCCGGCTTTATACCATTCGGCCATTTCGCTAGCTAAAAACGGTCCCTGAACTTCGCCCTGCGGATCACGGTAAAACCATTTTTCCGGACTACCCGTCGCGGAGGAAACCGCGGTAGGTTGGTTACCAATTGCCGGCGGGACACTGGTCGCGGCCGTCTTCTCCTTGTGATTTTCCTCGTCCGCCATTAATTTGGCCACCAGAGCGTCGGCCTCCTCCTTCATTCTATCGAGATCATCGTCCGTTCTCTGCCTGACGTTGGCGGTTCCCGTGTTATGCACGAGATGCTTCGGATGCTCCGCAGGAACTTGCCGACCGGCAGTTATCTGCGGCTCCGATTTGACCTCCGTCTGAACGTTCTCCTTCTTGTTGTGCGCTCCGCTGGGTGGCTCGCTGGATTTCTCTAGACCTAAAGTCTCAACCTTATCCATACTTGCGGATCCGATTTGCAGACTTGCAGTCTTCTTCTGCAAGAGATCTGTGGATGGCGCTAAAGTCTTCGTGGGAATGCTGCTCTCGGTCGACGGCACGACGGTGGCCGACTTAATAGAGGGTGAGCTACACCTTCTCTCTTTCTCTATAGTGTCGTCCTTGTCCTCGAGCGAATCCAACGGCTTTGGTCGCTCCTTGCTTAATGTATTGGCTATTGTATTACTCGTATGGCGATTCAGGGACTGGACAGAACCCGTTCCGAAAGCTAGTGGCTTGCTATTGGGTCTCACTAGGTTCGAAGCACTTCCTTCCGACACGCGTCGAGTTCTACCCTGCTGGGAAGCACCGGCCGCACCGTCCTCGTCATCATCCGAATACAATCCACCGTGAAATGCGCCTGAAGAGTCAAAACTACCGCCACTCTCGGTAGGATTTTCCGTAGCCCTGAAAAATATACAATTCAGAATATAAAGTAAAAAGAGATATAAACGCACCGCGGATGGAAGTTCGTTTAGCGTACCATTCAGGTAGATTGTCATGATTATCGTGATGATTCGATTCCCAAGTGCGAGCGGTGCGGGGTGGTGGATGATGGCCAGAGTCATGAGAAGGTCTGTGATTTCCCCGATGTTCCCATCTTCCCGGTCCGCTTCTACCCTCCTCTCCATCACCCTCGTTTCGATCCAATCTGTCCCGATCCATACTGCCACCCTCGCGCCAACTATTTCTTCCTGTATAAAAATATATGCCGTCATTGTATAAATGTACACATGTAGTAATTTCCAGAAAGAAATAGGGCGCGTATTTACCTCCCCACTTGCGCCAACTGTCATCGTCCTCTCCGCTTGTACGATGACGTCGCCAATTACTCTCCATAAGCGAGCTATTACTAGTCCCGCGATTTAGATCCTTTCTAGGACTGGTCGACCCGTTCCATTCTCCCGGATCTGAAGCGCCGTTTCTCTCTGACCAGCCGCGTTCGCTTTGAGATCTATCAAATGGCCTATTTCTTCCCTATAAATAAAATTTGCGTGAGATTCCTCCTTCAAAACTCAACTTCCATGACAAATTTATCATTCTACATGTAATATATATTTTCAGTATGTTAATACTTTCAAATTAATTAAATGAAAATGTTCTTTTACTTTAGCACAGATGACTCTCGTTTTCAAATGACCTGGACTTTTTCCATATAGCTTCAGTAAGTCTTAAAATTTATCAATATTAATAGGTAAAATTCTGATATTACAAGTTTTTACACTTTGATTTTAATTCTTGACAGAAAAACTTGAATTTTCATATTTATGCAAATCCTAGATTTCATTAAAATTCGAGGTTTTATATACATGTAAGATATATGTAAAATAGTCAAATATGTTATATCTAATTTATACATCTATTATATATATATATATATAATAGATGTATAACAGATTATAATAGATTATAACAGATTATAACAGATTATATATAAACTATATATAAATGTATAAATATGTGTAAAGCCCCGAATTTTAATAAAAAACAAGAAAACATTACAGCTAAAATGAAATGTTAAATAGTAAACTCATATCTTCGTAGTAAAACTCCGTACTTGAAATGATTGACCCTCGATTCGTATCCCATCACTAGAGTCATCGAAACCAACTCCGCGTGAATAATGGGACGAATACAAGCCTCCTCTTCCAGTTCTACCACGTCCACGATCCACACTGCTACCTCTTCCACGGCCACCGCCAATATTAGTTATCCCTCCATTCCACATACGCTGCAAAATACACATAGGATGTTTACAATGGAATATTTCACAAAACAATCTTATTCTAATTTTATATAATTGTTTAATAGCAAAGGTAGTCCAGAACAAAGCAAAAGTCATATAGAAATGTATTGTTCAAAACGAATCCATTTCTCTAAAATAATATTGTTAAAAGCGGGGAAATTTTTCAAAGCTTCAAAATTACAAAAAGAAAAAGACGAAAAATTATATTCATTTCAAAAAAACAAATTTCAAAAATATATATAAGTGTCTATCTTAAAAAAAGCAATCAGTTTATTGTAGATTAATACTTCTTAATGTATATGTTTTATAATTAAAAATAAATATTTAATATGAATATATTTTAATAACAATTTAAAGAAATATTAAATAGTGCGACCTAATAATCAATTAATAATCTCACAGCTTCTTTTCCTTATCAAAAATACATTAAGCTAAATTGCTGTTTCATACATAACGAATAAGAGCATATTAAAGAACAATAGTATTGCAATATAATTACACATACTTCACACACGTTTAGTTAACCGTTTACCGTTTCATCGTCTGTCATGGTTGTGAGAGCCAACGGAAGCTGAGTTTTCTCCACGTACAGCGTCGGGAAGGTTGTCAGTGGCTCCGAAGGTTTGCAATTGCGATCAAACAGAGCCAGCATCTCTTCCCGGCCGTATCTATGCTCTGCTAATTGATAGCGAGGTACACTCAGAGTTGTGGTCCCCCCGCCACCACTACCAGTATTGCAACTGTCTCCTGACGCAACCTTGCGCAACCTGTGCATGTGACAAGTACAACGTAAATACAATGTAACTGTAAACATAAGTAAATGACGTTGCCATTGGTTTCACCAGTGGGCGCAAGTCACACATACCATTCTGGACCGAATTTCATGGAGTCAGTCATGATGCACTATCTCCTGAAAAAAAAGAGAAAAACAAAGACGAGTGAGACAGCTTGTAACATAACATAATAAGAGAAAGCATATATAAAATATAAATGTGTATACTATTCCGTAAAGATTAAGTCTCGGAAGGTATCTTGCAAAAGTAACAAACACACGGGAATCCATTGTGCAACATGACAGTTCAAAGGTATCTTTTTTTTTTATTTTATCGGACGCTGAATAACGTTGCGAAATATAAATATCTGCAGGACTGTATGAAAATCATCAAGGTACGAGAAGGTAGCAGGATAACGCAGCCTCCTACGGAGGACCAAGGGAATTTGCTCCCGAACGCGGCGGGAGGCTCGGTCATCTGTTACAACCGATCCAAACGCAGAACATGTGACGCATGTGTTTGTGTGTGTGTGCGTATGTGTGCGCAAGATGCGAAAGATAAACGCGGACGATTTCGCGAGGAGGATCGGAACGTGATCGGGGCCGGACAGGCCCGCCGTACCTGTTGCTCGAAATCTCGGCGTATCGCGCGCGCGAGAGAGAAAGAGGGAGAGAGACTTTTGACAGAGAGACGCGAGTGACACGTAGTGCGACGTAGTAGGACTCGGAAGTGAGCGAAGACGTGGAGGGTGGCACGACGGCGCGGGAGAGACAGAGAAAGAGAGAGAGAGAGACAGCGGAGAGCAACGCGAAGAGCTGCGCTCCGTTAATCGCATGCTCCAGCTCGAGGGGGGACTCGCGTCTATGGCGTCGCGACGCAGAGTAGCGATCCGGTCCGGTGGCAGGCGTCCGGGAAGCGCGCGACGCGTCGCGCGGACAATACGCTCGTTGTCGGCGCGACGGCCGCCCGCACGCGTCCTCCCGTCCCGCGACATGCCAACCGTCGGGGAGCGCGAGGCGAGGCGCGGAGGCGGTCCCACCGCGCGCAGCCAAGGTGGCAACATTAACCAAACTTTTTTTGCTGGACGAACATCGGGGTGATCTGCACGCGCGACGGGTCGCGCGCGGGGCCGCGCGGCCACGCGGAAAACGATCGGATCGGCGCGGCGCGGCCCGCGACGCGGAGCGCAGCGGCGGCGGCGGGCCCACGGTGAGAGATACCTTTTGCTGATCTTCCGAAATTACTGAGGGCAGCGATACAACACACCAATATGGCTGATGATGGTTTTTTTTTTCTTGGCAAGAACGAGGCGCATGCGAAGGCTCGACACGACACGGCTCGTGGTATGACTGGGGAGGTGGCGCGGAAAGTCACTAGGGATTATCGCGCGTGATCGCGCGTATGCGCAGACTCGCGGCAGAGGAGAACCCGACGACGGAGATAGGGTCATAGGGAACGATCGGTGGACACGTGTAATGTAAAACGCCAAGAGGGGGGGACTTATAAGATCCATTGACGCCTGGATATACTTTTGTCAATTATCGAGAGGGATCCTTGGAATTAAAATCCTTTCATTTGATCATCTCTTGTTACATATTTCCCTCGATATTTCATTTGTTTTTAGAAATTTAAATTTTATAATAGGAAAATTTCATAATTAAATATTGTGTTGTAATAATTATTTACAGTTGATAAAGACAGTACTGATTTTACCGACCGAAGATATTTATTTATATTTTGCAAAGCGCAAAAATATAAATTATTAAAGTATATCAAAAGAATTATGTAAATGGTTTAAAAGTATAAGCGTTGAGATGTTAAGAATGATTCTGAGAATTTTATGGATTTAATCTTCCAAAATTAAAAATTCTGAAACATCGATAAAATATCAGAAAAATATAATCTAATAGAAATGATTATTATTTTATTGATCAAAAGCAATTATTTTTCAATATGCTTATTTTTCTTTGCTTTTGCAGATTAAGAAATTCTATTCCACAATTATTAAAGTATATATATATATAGGCAACAATATAAGTTAATTATTACAAGCTGGCCATCAAGCCGATTGACTTTTAGCCAAATAAAAATTAAGAAAGTTAGACGTTTTTTTTTAATTCTCTTAGTTCAATATGGTGTCTAGAATCTAATCGACTAGCTATCTATAGTCTATCAACTTGTGCTAATATTTTTTATACAAAAATTCTGCAGTTATAGCTTAAGGTCAGGGATTGGAAGTAACTTGTTAACTTGTAACGCTGTTACAGTTACTTTTTTTGGTAACGGATTGATAACGGTGTTATTTTATTTTTTTGGTAACTGCAATAACGGTAACGAATTATACAGTTAGTTTTATCATTACTTTTTGTATTTTGAACTTTCTGTATTTATGACAAAATATTTTTAAAATATTTTAAAAAATTAAAATTTATTTTTAAAAATATTTTAAAAAATTTATTGTGAAAAATATCAGCTGAATTGTGTTTCAAGATCGAAAATTTAATTGGCGCGTAGTTTATAAAATTGGATATGTATATATAAATTTATGTTAAAATATAATTAAGCACGAAGCTGAAAGCTCTAACTCGAAAAGGCTTTCATTTGTATAGTTGTATTTTTATTTA